ATTGTGGTTGGAGGGGATCTGGTTTGTCTAACTTGCTTCACTTTCCCCAGGAGAAGCTCTGGAGGCTTTATTTTCACCATTCCAGAAGAAGGAAGTTCTCAGCTCAAAGGAAATGAAGAACGGGAGAATCATGCCAAGGAAGAGGAAGTCCCCACCAAGGACTCTGGCCATGACATGTAGGATGACCCCATGAGCTGCATGCAGGAGGGCAGGACTAATGGGACCTCATTGCCCATGCGCAGGCCTGAGCTCATCCTCAGCCCTCTCTCCCGTGCAGGCTCTCCTACCTAAACGAGCACGCAGGGACTCCTCCACGCCCCATCATTTTGCCACCCCACAGACCCCAGAGATACCTGGACGGGCACAACGCACCACGCCGCCGTCTGCTGCCCCCCACACCTGCAGGTGAGAGCAGGCATGGATCCTGGCCCCCCTACCAAGAGCCAGCAGAGCAGAGGGCTGGGGTGGGTGGCACTGACATTCTTCTTTGCCCCTCCACCCCCAGCTCGGAAGCCTTCCTTCACTATCCAGTGTCTGAGGCGCCAGGGTGGTTGTGAAGATTTACCCATCCCAGGCACCTATCATCGTGGGCTACCCCTCAACAGCAGGGCACAGGTGAGGTGGGGAATGGGGTGCTGAGGTCTGGACGGGTAGAGTTAGCCTAGGCTGAATTTATCAAACATACCACATGTATTCTGAAGAATGAGGCACATATGAATTCACAAAAGCAAAAAAAAGTGGGGGGAGCAACCCTCTCAGGACCCCTCACTCTTCGGAAGCTCAATAAGCTTTGCTGCCCACCCCAAAAAAAAAAAAATGAATTCACAAAAGCCTCACTGTACCTGTGAGATACGTACTGTTGTTAGTCCTAGTTTACAGATGAGGAAACTGAGGCCCGGAGAGGCTTACCCAAGATCACACAGTCAGTAAGTGGCAGAGCTCAGACCACCAGTAAGTGGCAGAGCTCAGATTTATACCCAGGTCTTTTATGCTCTTGAATAAACTCAAGTCTGGTTTATTAGCATTCAGTTTGCCTCCAGTTGTGTTTGGGGGGGTGGGCGGTGATAAGAGGTAGGCACAGGGGTGAGTCCTAGATCCTCATATCCCACCCATCAGTCCTGAGCCCCCTGATGTTTATTCTGGTCCAGGGTTCCTGGGCAACCCCTCCACAACGGAGTCGGCTCCTCTATGCCCCACTCTTGTTGGTGGAGGAGGGCGCAACGGGGGAGGGATACCTCCACAAATCCAGTGGTCCGCTGCGCACCTTCACCTGTCTGCCCGTGCCTGGAACCCACTCAGACTCCAGCCATGGCAAGAGGGGCAGTGCTGATAGCCTGGTGGAGGCTGTGAGTCTAGAAGGGACCTGGGCAAGGGGGACGGGGGAGAAGGGGAGGAAGTGGGAGCTTGGGAAGGAGGGAAGAGGGCATCCCCCCAACCCCCGGTGTCTGCACTGTGCGTGTGATTATCTATCCCTTTGCTCTGCAACTTCTGCTTAGCACGATGTATGCACGACTGTCTCCAGTGACTTCCCTGCACACTTTCACAGATGATGCGTCATCTACCTACACTGACCCACTGTGCACATTGCTTTGATTCCATGTTGGGCTCTCTGCTGACTCTGATCCCATCTGTGCCCCCAGGTGCTCATCTCCGAGGGCCTGGGCCTCTTCGCCCGAGACCCACGCTTTGTGGCCCTGGCCAAGCAGGAGATTGCAGATGCCTGTCGCCTGACCCTGGACGAGATGGACAGTGCTGCCAGTGACCTGCTGGCACAGGGGACCAGCTCACTGTATAGTGATGAGGAATCTATCCTCTCTCGCTTCGATGAGGAGGACCTCGGAGACGAAATGGCCTGTGTCCATGCCCTCTGAATTCCCATCCCTCCTCCCCTGCTCAATAAACCTGCTCTCCCTTCCCCAGAGGGAGACAGGCATGGACCACAGCTCTGGATTTCAGTATCTTTGCACTGGGGGTCTGGGGCTGCCCAGCGCCCCCCAGGCATCCATCCCCTGCTTCAGCCCTGAGCCACTGCCCACACACGAATATTTCCAGAAACCAGGACAGCCAGGCCTGATTATTCAGCGTTAGGGAAGGAGGGAGGAGGAGGAGGAAGAAACAGCAGCCAAAAAAAGCTGGAGACAGAGTGGAGGTGGTGGGGGAGGGGAAGGGGACCGGACAGAGATGGAGGAAGGAGGAGGAGAGGATGTGTGGAGGCTTGGATGAGGAGTGGGCGAAAATCAAAGATTCCACAGGGGTCAGTCAGGTCAGCCTGAGGAAGAACAGATGGGATGAAATGGATAAGAATACTCAGAGTAGAGTCCTGCTAGTAGAAAGGCCTGGAGGTTGGATTTAGCCTGGTATATAATATGTCAGGCAGAGGGGTCCTCTGACAGCATCAGGAATTTCTGGGAAGCTAAATTGGGATTACCCTGTCTCCTGCTTTCTACCTTCTGCCTAAGAAAGAGAAAATCTAAGTCTGTTGACAGAAGACATGGGTGACAGCAAAGTGGGTTACCGCAGTAACCCACTCAGGGCCCACCTGGTTTTCCTGAGACCACCTAAGGGTACCCCACTGTCCCGCACAGATCCCAGCGCTCCTCTTTCTGCTTCTTGCCCTGCCTGTAGTCATCACCCAGCCTTTGGGGGTCTCATTAACCAAGTGAAGTTTTATCAGGCATTTACTTTGTGCCAGGCACTGTTCTGGGTTTCCCTCAGGCCAAACTGAGCTGACTTAGACATGCTGCGGGACTTGTCCAAGGTGGCATTCAGCCCCACTCCGAAGGAATCAGAGGCAATGCTGGGAAAGGTCCTGGATGGGGCCACTGCCAGGGAGGTTCTGACCCAGGGTTTCATCCCAGTTCTCAGAGCAAGAGTTTTCCTAAAAGCAGTGGGGAGCCATGGGAGAGATTTGAGCAGGGTGGTGACATAGTTAACGGCATTTTAAATGGATGCTCTGACGGCTGTGCTGAAAACAGAAGGGAGGGGGAAGAGACTGGAGATGCTAAAATTGGCAGGAACCATGGTTGCCTTAGCCAGGGGAGGTGGCAGAGGAGATGGTGAGAAATTAGTGGATTCCAGAGCTGTGTAGGAAGTAGAATGAACCATTTATTTGGCCCCGGGCTGAGCGCATAACAGTGATTATCTTGTTTAATCAGTGCAGCAACCCTGTAGGTACCATGTTAAAACTATTTTACATGTCCGAAGCCACACAGGAATAAATATTAAAGTGGGATTCAAATGCAAGTAATTGCTGAAACCCAAGCTCTTTTGCCAAAAAGGCACCAACGGCGAGGTATCCATTACATATTTGTGTGAATTCGAGTGTGTGTACATGGGGATGCTTTAAAAAAGTAGGTATACATCCAGATGGTTCAAAATTCAAAAGGTACATGGGGCACCTGGCTGGCTCAGTCAAACGAGCATGTGACTCTTGAACTCAGGGTTGTGAGTTTGAGCCCCAGTGGAGGGTAGAGATTATATAAACAAATTTTTAAAAATTCTAAAGGGGGACATCTGGGTGGCTCAGTCGGTTGGGCATCTGCTTTTGGCTTGGGTCATGATCCCAGAGTCCCAGGATTGAGTCCCATGTTGGGCTCCTTGCTCTGTGGGGAGCCTGCTTCTCCCTCTACCTGCTGCTCCCTCCACTTGTGTTCCCTCTGTCTGTGTGTGCGTGTGTGTGTGTGTGTGTGTCAAATAAATAAATAAAATCTTTTTAAAAAATACTGATATGGAGCCTTGGAATGATCACCAAGATAGTTAAGTAAGAAGCAGACTCCCTGACCAGGAGGGAGCCTGATGCAGGGCTCGATCCCAGGACCCTGGGATCATGACCTGAGCCAAAGGCAGCTGCTTAACTGACTGAGCCACCCAGGTGCCCCTACAAGGCTCCATATTAGTACTAATGACAGTTGCATAGTACTCCATTTCGTGGATGTATCAGATTTTGCTTAAATGGGCCACTAGTAAGGAGTGCTTAGGGAGTCATATTATAAACAGCACTGCAGTGAATCATCTTATACATACAACTTTTAGCACATGTATGAATCTGTCAGATAAGTTCCTAGAAGTATAAATGCTGAGCCGATCAGTATATGGATTTGTTAGGTTGCCGAATTCTGCCAAATTGCCCTCTACATAGGTTATTCCAACCTAACTTCCACTGGTAATTTATGGGAATGCCTGTTTCTGGCCAACCTGCCAATATTGAGCTTAAGCAAACTTTTTTATATTCACCACCCTCAAAGATGAAAAACAGGATCTTAGTAGCTTTTATAGGCATTTCTTTTAGCATAAACGAGGTTGAACATCTTAAACTCCCATTGTATTTATCCACTGGATTTTGCAACATGGCAATCGCCATTGACCTTGTGGGCCTAGTTTTAGTAGCATGAAGGAGGGATAGTCTGATTAAAAGAGAGCTGAGGAATAAACAGGATGTAAAGGGTAGAGTTGGAGCAAGCAAAATTTTGACTAAAAGGATAGAGAAATAGGGGAGATGGTTGGAGGAGAAGAGAGGGGTTTTTAAGACCTTGAACTACGTTGAAATCGCTGAGACTTTGGGCACTGCCAATTACTAGTGGGGCGACCTTGGGCAGCAGCTACACCTCTCCGGGGACTCATCTTCCTCATCTGTAAAAAACAGGGCTAATGGTCCCTACCACATAGGGCTATTGTAAGAACACACTCAACAAACTCCGTAAAGGGCCTGGCAAAAACGTTTTACTGTAGGACCGAATGGTCCTCCACTCCCCAGACCTCTAGCTGTGTTTTTCGAGACACCGATCCTCCCAGAGCGCTCTCGCGACTCCAGCTCTAGGGCTGGAATGGCGGCTGGCGAGATTTAGGTTCGGCCCGCTGTGTGCAGGCGCGCGCCGAGAGTGGGGCGGGGGCGCGAGGGGCGGAGCCGCGGCCGCCTGGGCTGTTCCGACGATCGCGCGCCGCCCCCGCCGCGCCCCGCGCCCGCCCTTGTTAGCAGGCGCCTCCCGCCCCCCGCATTGCTGATGCTGCTGCTGGCAGACATGGACGTGGTGAATCAGGTACGTGTTCCAGCACCGAGGACAGAGCCCGCCGCTGCCCGGCCTCCCCGCCCGGATCGCCGCGAATCAGGCGACTCGGAGTGGTGGTGGCCAGGGTCCTGGCAGCGGACAGTCGGTCACCAGCACTGGGGCTGGGGTCTACGGCAGGCGAGGGCGGAAGGGGGAGGTGGAGAAAAGAACGAGCGCGCCCTTTGCCGCAGCGAGGGCCGTCCTCACTGCAGCAGCGGGGTCCGCCAGAAGCCCGGTTCCTTACCGGCAACCGTGAGGAGAGGAAGAGGGGTCTTGGGGCTAGAGTAAGGGTAACGGGGACGGGGAGAGGAGGAACAGTGGAAGGAAGATGGGGGTTGCTCATAGATGACCTAGGAAATAGAGCGACAGAAGGCGTGGGGGCGGGGGGGTGGGGGGAGGGCTGACACCTGCCCCTCCCAGGGAAGGTACCCCAGTAGATGACCACCCCTTCCCCCAGAGCAGATCAAGGGGGACGATGCGACGTTGCCTCTCCAAAACCCCTAGTCTCCCCTCCCCCAGTACATATCCACTGAAGCCATGTCCCAGCCCTCCCCCACCTTACTCAGCCCAGACCCCCCCTGCCATCTCACTCTTCTTCACCACCTCAGAACCTCACCCCTCTCTAACCAGTACCAACCCCTCCCCACCCTCATCATTTCAGACCCCACCACCACCATCTGACTCACCTTTACCGCTGCAGACCCCTCCCCCACCCTAGCCAACCTGACTCCTTCCCTGTTATGACTCACCTCCACCACCCAAGACCCCCTCCCCCACCCTAATGAACCCCAACTCCTTCCTCACTCTTTCCACCTGATCCCCTTCACCATCTGACTCACCTTTACTGTTTCAGACCTTCTCCCCTTCCTTAATTAGTCCCAACCCCGTCCCCATCTTCCTCACCCCAACAACCCTCTGCCATCAACCTCACCATCTCCCCAGACCTCCCCTCCAGTCCTGAACCCCAAGGATCTTCTCTCAGAGACCCTGTGCTCACACTTTCCCTGAAGTGTCACTTTCTCCTTCTCACCCTTTCTCTCCCAATATCACTCACTCCTGGAGGTCATATGCCCTAGTTCCAGGGGTCATTGCCTGGTGGACTTGCCTCTCACCTCCCTTTCCATTCCCAACAATCCTACCCCCTCCCCACCACTTCTCTCCTCAGCTGGTGGCCGGGGGTCAGTTCCGGGTGGTCAAGGAGCCCCTTGGCTTTGTGAAGGTGCTGCAATGGGTGAGTGTGCTCTGGGCCATTGGGAGAGAGAAGGAGGTGGTGGGCTCTGGAAGAGTAGGGGTGGGGAGCAAGGAATGGATGGGTGGGTGCGGGTGGAAGGGGATGGAAGAATTGGTGAGGTCCCGGGGGCTGGGGTCAGTGAATAGAGGGGCTGTGATGTGACGTCATGTAAGACCAAGGGTACCCCCATTGTGAAGTGGAAGAATGTGACGTCTTACCTCCTCCTTTGAGGTGAGAGAGGGGCAGGGGAGGTGGAGTGTGAAACTGGTTGCTGCAGAAAAGATGGAAAGCCAGAGAAATCCAAAGACAGAATGAGAGACAGGGAAGGATGGAAACAGAGATGGAAATACCAAGAAGAAAACAGAGAGAGATGAGAGAGGGAGTGGAGACAAGGAGAAAGAGACAAAGAAAAAGGGAGACAGAGATGCACAGAGAACAGAGATGAGAAGAGAAATAGATACAGGAAGAGTAGCAGAAAAAAATGGGATGGGGGAGAGACAGAAACAGAAAAAGAGAGATACTCAGGGGAGCAAGGAAAGGAGAAAGTGATACACAGAAAAAGAGAGATGCACAAGAGAGACAGAGAGATCATGATACAGAGACTGAGTCAGAGACAGAGCAGGGAGATAGAGACAAACAGACCAAGGACGGAAATACACACAGGGAGAAACATACATTTACATGGATGGAGCCAGAGGAAAAAAAGAGACAGAAAGAGACCTACATGGATACGAGAGAGGTAGAGGCAGAGAGAGAAACAGAGATACAGAGACAGAGAGACATCTGAGAAAGACAGAGAAACAGATACCAAGAGAAACAGAGACACAGAGAACAACAGAGACAGGCAGAAATACATAGAGGAATAAAGAGACTGAGACAGAAGAGAGAAGGAGGGGGATCATAGCATCGAGAGATAGAGACTGAGAGAGACATTGAGAGAAAGACTGGAAGAGACAGCCACACCCCTGTAATCAGCTTGTCCTTGGAGCCGATGAGCCCTGATTAGGGGGTGGGGGTGGGGACTGGTCCATCTGCTGCTGCTTGTGCTGGGCCCTGATCTGTCCAGAGGAGGGCATCCCATCCCACGTGTACACAGGCTCACCATGACCATCCCCATCCCTGCTGCCCAAGGTCTTTGCTATCTTCGCCTTTGCCACATGCGGCAGTTACACCGGGGAGCTCCGGCTGAGTGTGGAGTGTGCCAACAAGTCAGAGAGTGACCTCAGCATCGAGGTTGAATTCGAGTACCCCTTCAGGTGCGCCCCCCCCACCCTAGCCCACCCCAGGGATCCCAGGGGAGATGGTGGGGGTGGGGTAGGACTGGCCAATACTGCCTCCACAGTGGCTCCTGTTCAGCCCCCACCTCAGGAGACCACGGTGGGTCAGGTCACCGCACATTTACCGAGCCCCTACCTTGCGCCTGGCCCTGCTCTGGACATCTAGGACATCTGGTGAGCAAGACAGGCATAGGCTGGTGCCCTCTGGCTGTGTTCTAGTGAATGGGGAGGGGCAGGAGACCAGCAATAAACAAGATTCAAAAGTAGAAGTGTATACGGATAAATAGCCTTAAAGCACTAGTTGCTCAATTAATGTCAGCCAATATTATTTAATTCCCATTCATTCATTCATTCCATACACAATTTTTTGGAGAACCTACTGTATGCCAGTTTCTGCTCAACGTGCTGGGGACATAACAGGGAAAGAAAAAAAAAACCAGACCAAGCTCCCTCGGGGAGCCAACATTTTAACAAATAAATTGATAAAAAGGATGATTGCAGACTGGGAGAAATTCAAAGAGGGGATCCTCATGCAGTGTTTTATCACAGAGAATAATGAGGGGGTCTGATTAGCTATAGGGAATGATTAAACCCAGTTAAGCAATTCTGATATTCACTGAGCTCATACTGTGTGCCAGGTGCTAGGAACATGAGGACGAGCACAAGCAGGCAAGGTCATCGCCCTCGCAATAATGCTTACCTCCTGGGGAGTGGGGAGACAGAAACCCACAGACACAATTTCAGTAGAGGCTTCTGAGGCTCCTCCACTACTTGGACAAATCACATAACTGCTCCAGGTCTCCATTTACTCGTCTGCAGAAGGGTCCGATAATATCCCTTCCAAGATTATGATGAATAGTGACTGAGTTAATACTTGTAAAGTGCTTAGCACAGTGCTGGGCACACAATAAGCGTGCCACGAGGGCTTGTTAAAATAAAGAAAATAAAAAAGTTTAAGGGACTCAGGAAAGAGGTCAGGGCTTGAGTTGGAAATTGGGCATTTTTGAGCACTAAGGATAAATGCAGGCTCAGGGGATCACCCAGGGTTAGAGGGAAAAGTGTAAAGAGGAAAATCCAGGACAGACCCTGAGCAATGGTTGAAAGAAAAAGAAGCACCAGGGGAGGCATGGCCTGAGGGGCAGTGGGAAGCAGGGATCCACTGGTTCACAGAAGCCAGGAAACAGAGTTTGGGGGAGGGGGAGGAACCAGCAGCCTGGGATACTGCTGGGATTCCTTTGGGAATCCAGAAGGCCACAGAAACCTCCACTCTCTAGTAGCTCCCTCACCTAGGACCTCCAGTCCTGAAGACCTGCCTTTTACCCACAAGTCTCGAGGGAAAAAAAAGTCTTTGCCGTGGTCCCCCTGACTGAATCCCCCACTGCCCTGATAACCTCCCAAGGGCCCTCCATTTCCCACAAGACACCATCTCTCCCAACCTGGCCCACTAGGAATCCAGAAACTTACCCAGATTCAAGTCTTAGCTCTGTCCTTTAGCAGCTCTACAACCTTGGGCAACTTAACACAACCTTGCTGAGCCTCTGGTCATCTGTCGAATGGGTGTACTAATCCCTGATTTAGAGGATTTAGGGAGAGGGTCATTAAATGAAGCAGTTATCTAAAGTGCCTTGTAGGTGATCAGTCAATAAATGTAAGCTCCCTCCCTCAGGACCTTTGCTACACAAGGGGACTAGCAACATTTGCTCTGTCTCAGGATCCTGCCCCCCAAGTCTGAGGCTAGACCTCTGGGACTCCACCTTAAACCTTCTCCCTACACGCATTTTCTCCCTATGACTTCCATTACACTGCAGGAAAGGCCTTAGTCCCAGGACACCTTCCCAATCTGCACCTCCCCACCTCACATTTGTACATGTGTTCTGTGTGCTCCAGGATCCCTTCTACCCTCCTGTCTGTCTGTCTTCTGTTTTGTAGTCTCTGTGCTCTCCTCTGCTAAGCATACGTTTCTTTTCTCTTTGGGACCTGAAATGAGGTAGTGAGAAAAGTCAACATGATGTAGGGGGAACACAGTGTTCAGAGCCCAACTGTGCCATTCTCTCCCCAGCTGTGTGACTTTAGGCAAGTTAATGCACTTCTCTGAGCCTCTGTACATTTCATTGGATGAACATGCACTGAGCACCTACTGTGTGGCAGCACTGTTCCAGGTCTTAGGGATACAGCAGTGAAACAACAAAGGAAAAAACCCAGCCCTCTTTGAAGTATGGGGAAAATCCAGGAAAAACATAAAACACATGATATGTCAGATGCATGGGGTATCACTGCCATAGAGAAAAATGAAGCTAGAAAGGGGGCTAAGGAGCACTGGGAGGGAATGGTTCCATTTAATTTTAATACGGAGATCTGGGAAGGCCTCCCTGAAGTGACAGTTGAGCAAAACTTGAAGGACATGAAGGGAGTAATATCTAGGAGAAGGGCATTCCAGTGCAAAGATCCTGCGGTGGGAGGGTGCCTCAGATGTTCTACAAATAACCAAGAGGTCAAAGTTCCTGGGTTGGAGTAAGGATTGAATAAGACCTATTTCCCCAGGATGCTGTGAACAATCCATAAAATGTGACTGGTATACAGTAGGTGCTCTGTGAAGGGTTATTTCCTCCTCTTTCTTCCAGGGACCTTGTCAGAATCTGGGGAACCCATGACTTGGGGGGGGGGAGCATGTTCCTAGGGTCTGGACCACACCTGCCATGTCTCTCCACAGGCTGCACCAAGTGTACTTTGACGCACCCACCTGCCGAGGGGACATGGAGAAAATCTTCCTGGTGGGGGACTACTCCTCATCGGCTGAATTCTTTGTCACCGTGGCTGTGTTTGCCTTTCTGTACTCCATGGGGGCTCTGGCCACCTACATCTTCCTGCAGAATAAGTACCGAGAGAACAACAAAGGACCCATGATGGTAAGCCCCCCACAGCCGCTCAAGTGCAGGGCCCCGGGGACATAGAGTCTCAGGGACACGGTCATGTTCATAGGCGCCTACCAAACCATAGACAGTCCCACATGCCAGCAGTCCCCATAACAGCCACAGATGTTACTGCTGCCGCTGCTGGGAGCATCAAAGAAACCGAATCATAGAATGACAGGGACCCACTCAGAGCCCACACAGAATCCCAGACAGACCTACCCCCTGGAAACCTGCCACCTTGCACACAACCACACAGTCTAGATCAAAGAAAGGTGCACAGAGGTTCACTGTGATAGTCATGCTTGTCATCATGCCACCCAGACACATTGATTCCTACACAGCTGTACTCATACACCCTCATCCCAGCCACAAAATGACATAAATTCCCACATTCAGATGAAAGTAGAAAGACACGCTACTTTCCACAGATTCAGAAACCATCCCACAAAATCCCCCCACACATACCCACACATCATAATTACACTCCCACATCCTCTGTGTCACAGACACACACGTGCGTGCACGCACACACATAAACGCCCAAGCTAGGAATGCTCACCTTTAAGTGAGTATTGGGGGCTTCAGAGCTGAAAAGGCAGGAGAGAGACAGGGTTTTACTGTGGGGCCTCCCCCTCCCAAGAAAGCCTGTGATCTGAGGAGGCCCCACAGCATGTTATGAAGCAGCCCAGTCACAGTGCCATCTGCCTCTCCTTGCCTGCCCTAGGACTTCCTGGCCACGGCTGTGTTCGCCTTCATGTGGCTGGTTAGCTCATCAGCATGGGCCAAGGGACTGTCAGACGTGAAAATGGCCACTGACCCAGAGAACATTATCAAAGGGATGTCTGTCTGCCACCAGACGGGGAACACATGCAAGGAGCTTAGGGACCCTGTGACCTCTGGCCTCAACACTTCAGTGGTAAGCCCTGGGAAGGTGGCTGGGCTGGTGGGCCAGTTGCGGAGAGAGGCTGGGAACCTCACAGTCTGGCTTGGGGAGCGGTGGAGAGAATGAGGGGAGAATTCAAAGGAGATCCAAGAGGGCTCCCCGGAGGAGGCATGCCAACAACAGTGGCTTGAAGGATGAGATAGCAGTTATAACCACTGCAATAGCACAAATAGTCCCCGGGAAGGGAATATGAGACTCTCTGTCCGATTACGTTTGGGAGATCTGGATCCCAGGCCCAGCCTAGTTGTGGGGAACCTCTGGCGACTCGGTACCATCTAGGGACCATTTTGCCTACGGTATGCAAAATGAAAGAATAACTTGAAATGTTTCTCACTTGGACTCCCCCTACTGGCCAGAGTCAAGCAGTCTGAGCTTCAATCCCAGCTCTGCCACCTGCTAACTACTCAGCCTCTCAGCCTCAGTCTGCGCATGTAAATTGAAAACTACTAAGAGGTCCTGCTCCAAGTTGAGTATTCAGTGAACTAGCAATATACAAAGTGCTTAGAAAAGGACTTGGCATGTGGTAAGTTGTATACACGTGCTACAGATGCTAAGATACCAACTTTTTAAAAAAAGATTTTATTTATTTACTTGACAGAGAGCGATCACAAGTAGGCAGAGAGGAAGGCAGAGAGAGGTGGGGGGAAGCAGGCTCCGCACTGAGCAGAGAGCCCGATGCGGGACTCGATCCCAGTACCCTGGGATCATGACCTGCACCGAAGGCATAGACTTTAACCCACTGAGCCACCCAGGGACCCCCCAACTTTTTTTCTATCACTTGCTGGGTGTGAGACTTGGAGCATCTTAGCCTCTCCAGGCCTCAGCTTCCTCAACTGTAAAGAGGAGCTATTACTGCCTGTCCCAAAATTGAATTATATTGTATATATTTAAGCTCCATGTATTTGTTTTAATATAAAAGCATATATTTATATACTTTGTATATGCGTATATACGTATGTGTATAATGATCTGTTAGTATATCTATATACATAATAAAATTTATGCTTAACATTTTACTTTATTACAAATTTATATTATATTTTATACATGTATAAATGTATGTATGTAATAGTGATAGATGTCAACATCCCTGAGAGTATGAATTCTAACACGCCCCATTCCCCCTGCCCCAGGTGACTTTTCTGCACATTGGCGTTCATGCGCCAGCACTCTGGAGGGTCCGGGTTTTAGAAACCACCACCCTTCAGAAGGCCACGTCTCTATGCTCCGCGCCCGAGGCCTCGACGTCCCCCGGGGCCAAATCAACAGGCACAGGACGACCGCCTGGCTTTGTCTTCCCGCAGGTGTTCGGCTTCCTGAACTTGGTGCTCTGGGTCGGCAACCTGTGGTTCGTGTTCAAGGAGACAGGCTGGGCTGCCCCATTCATGCGTGCACCTCCCGGCGCCCCCGAGAAGCAACCAGCGCCCGGGGACGCCTATGGCGAGGCAGGCTACGGGCAGGGCCCAGGCGGGTACGGGCCCCAGGACTCCTACGGGCCCCAGGGCGGCTACCAGCCCGATTACGGGCAGCCCGCCGGCGGCGGCGGCGGCGGCTACGGGCCTCAGGGAGACTACGGGCAGCAAGGCTATGGCCCTCAGGGCGCGCCCACCTCCTTCTCCAATCAGATGTAGTCTGGTGAGTGACGGGCGGGCGGGCGGCGCGGCCAAGAAGGGTACGGGAAGGGGGGACGGGCGGGTCAGTAAGCCAATAAGAGTCAAGAGTAATTGGTACGTAGGCACAGGGGTGGGGGCTTGGAGGCGCCAATAGAGAGGCGGAGCTAATAGGAAGAACGAAAAACTAGCCAATAGATGGAGAGCAAGAGAATGGTGCTTGAAGACGGGCGGAATGAAAAGCCAATGGGAGAGAAGTAGAAGGTCCTCTCTGACGGAAGGGAGGGTAGAGAAAAAGAGGACAGAGCAACCAATGAAAGAAGGGAATGGCAGGGGGACTTGCGTAGTGCGGGAATCCGCCGAGGAAAGACAAGGTGGGCCTTAGAAGTGATTGATAAGCCAGTTTGTTCTAATAAGGCCAATAGATGGTGAGGGTAAAGGGCCTTGGGTCATGAAGGTCAGACGAGCACACCAGTCCCGGAGGTAGTGATGGATCTAACATCTCTCAGCAACCCCTGTGGTGAGGGAGGTAGTGTGGAATTTCATGGAAGGAAGGGGGCAAGCGGAGGCAATGGGAGGCTTCTGGGTCTTTTTGCTGGGTCTGAGAAGTCTGATTTCCTCACCTACGAGGGAGGGAAATGGGAAGAGGGGGAGATGACGACACGTGGACGGAGGTAGCTTCTGGCACTTGGCCAGGGTGGAAAGGGCAGGGAGGAGTTTATTAGGTACCTCATATCTAATTCATCAAAAATTCCTGTTGACTCTACCATTAAAATATATCCATAATCTTCCACGTCTCACTGTCCTCTCCCCTGGACATCACAGCTTTCTACCCACATCCCCATTCTGTTCTACTCACAGCACTGGAGGGATCCTGTTAAATCCTAAATCCTGACCCTACCCTCCTGTGCTCAGAGCTCTGCCTGGGCTCCCATCTCACTCACCTTAAAAGCTAAAGCCCACACCAGACATGACACCAAGCCTCACCCTTCCCTTCTCCAATCTCCCACCTCCTCCCACTCCCCACCCCAACCGTGTTCCAGGCACAAGCCAAATTCAGGGCCTTGGTACTTGTTTTCCCCCTGGAGTTTTGCACCCACACTTAGTTTTGATAACCTTACCTGGCCAGCTTCTTGAAAGGCCCCTTTCTTATCTCTCTTATAGTACCCTGTGCTTTTCTTATCACAGTCTGTAATTATTAATTTATGTATTTATTGACTATCTCTTCCACTAAACTTCAGGACGTGACCATGACTTATTCATGATGTACACACATCACTCAGAGCCCTACTAATGTTAAGAAACATTTATTGAGGAAATAATAGAAACAACATGAGACATGTATTCTCATTTCATGCTTCTCTGCTCAAATTCTTCCAGTGACTTACACCTCATCCAGAGCCAAAGCTGACGTCCTCAGCCTAGTCCACAAGGCCCTATATGACCCCATTACCAGCCTCTCTGACATCACCTCCTACCACTGCCCCTTGCTCACTCCACTCGAGCCCCACTGACTTTCTTGCTGTTCCTCAAACACACTAGACGTGGCTCTACCCCAGGACCCTTGTGCTGGCTATTCCCCCTGCCTGGATTTTTCTTCATCCCAGTTATCTGCATGGCTCACTCCCTCATGTCCTTGACTCTTTATTCCAATATCATTTCTTAAATGAGTTCTTCTTTGACTACCCCACTTACCACAGCAACATTTCTTCCCCTACTGGCACTCCTAATCCCCCTCACCCTAGTCTACCTTTTGTTTTTACATTGCACTTACTATCACCTGATGTCATACTAGATAACTTACTTAACACATTTTTGTTGTTTGAAGTCTGTCTTCTCCATCACAACACAAGCACCACAAAGATAAGCAGCTTTGTTTTGCCCAATACGATCTATCACCAACAGCTAGAACAGTAACATGTTAATGGATATTTTGGGGTTGGTGGAGGGGGGACCACAACGTCTTTGGTACTTAATCTAGTGGGCGCAAGCACTACCTTCCCAGTAGGGGCATCTGGGATGAAGCTGACCCAAGGACTATGAGTGAAGAAGGAAGGAAGAAAAGGCACGGCAGGCAGAGGGTAAAGCCAAGGTGGAGGCGTAGCAGCCCAGCCCCCCACCCTAAGCGCACAACCTATGTCTGGACCCCCTCTCCTTTCTGTCTTTTGTCTCCACAGGTCAGTGCAGCCCAGGAGGACCCCATGGGTGGGCAAGAGCTCAGAAGCCCTGCCGCCCTTTCCACCCCTATACCCCAGGTCTCCACCCCTCAAGCCAGGAGACTCTAACTCTCTTTGCTGTTTATATATATATATATTATATATAAATATCTATTTATCTGTCCGAGCCCTGCCCCCACTCCATACCCCTCATGCATTAGGGGCCTGACCTTGAGTGGGTCCCTCTCCTAACCCCACCCCTTCCTTTGCATCCCTTGGCCCCTGTCTGTTCCCTGGCCCTGTGCCCTGAGGTTGGGGGACTCTGAAAGGGGAACAGGGAAAAGACAGGTCTTAGCTAAGTGGGGAGGGTCGGTGTGACTTCAGACTCTCTCCCCTCTCTCCCTTCCCTCCTCCCAACTGGCCTTGACTCCTCCAGCAATGTCTGAACAGGGGCCATGAGGGGAAATTCAACCCTGAGGGGGGAGAAAGGCAGATTGGGGGACTTGACCTGAGGAGGACTTGAGGGGAGCTCTTGGGTGAAGAGGACCGGTAAGCAAAGGGTGTGGGTTCCAGACATACTGGATCTAGAGTCTAAGGAAGAGGGGTGCCCTAGAGCATTCTGGAGTAGGGGTTGTTGGAACGAGGCTGAGAGCCCGGTTCTAGAATGGGTGGAGCTTTGAGTGAGGCAAGGGTCAGGCCCCAAAAGTGGGCAGGATTTGAAATGGGACAAGAAGGGGTGTGACCTGGGGACCGCATTCTAGAGGGGTGGGGCCTGAACCAGGAATGGGTGAGGCTCCAGAGTGGGCGGGTCTTGGATTGGGACCAGAGTGTACTGAAGCGGTATTGCTAGGAATATTCAGGAGACCGAGTTTGATTCTAAAGGGGGCAGATCTTGTGCAAGGCAAGAAGTGGGATTCAGGAATGGGCCAAGCTTGATGTGAGATCTGAGTTCTGGACAGGGCGGGGTGCATAGTGGGTGTTCGTGGCTGTTTCAGAAGGGGCAGCCCACCCCAATGGAGCAGTGCAAAAAATGTTTTAAAGTGGGCAGGTTTGGCGGTGGAGTGGGGGGCGGGAATATCTCTGGCCAAAGCTGAGGATTGAGGTGGCCTGGGAGGAGCTGAGAGATAAGGCTTGGAGGGTAAGGGGTGGGATCCAGAGAGAAGCACCCCTCACACCCTTGCCCACTCCCGTGTGATAGGACAGCTAGGTAGTCAGAGGACAGAGCCAACGGATCTGTGGGGCCGGCCCACCCCTCTCCTCCCTTTCCGTGCCTCTTCCCTCCCTTCACACCCCGGCCCGGTCTGGAGTCCCTATCCTGCACCCTCCGCTGTGTCTGTGACGTCGGTAGTGCCTGTGATCGTGTGTTGCCATTTTGTCTGGCTGTGGTCCCTCCCTCTCTCCTCCAGACGCCCCCCCCCTTTCCTAGCCCTTCGGTATTGTTTGAAGATCTCCCCAAGGAAGAACAAATAGGATTAATTCTCCTCCCCTAAATAAACTCCTCTACCACCTAGTCCTCCCGGCTCTGATTTCTCAGTGTGTCTTTTTTCACTGGAGAGGAGGGAGGAAGACAGAGAGGTGGGGGAGAGGCGGCGAGAGGAAGCTCCGCCCCTGACCTGCTGGACTTGCCGTTCAAGTCACCCCGTCATGTCAGGTCCCTCCAGCCGTGTTGCCGATCTGATCATTCCAAGTCACGCTCTGAGTAGCCCTGCCCACTGCCCCTGCCCACTGGCTGCCGAACGCCCTGTCTTTCTAGGGTTCGGTTCTAATTCTGGCCCACTAGCCGCACCCCTTCCCAGGCCCTGTGGAGCCCTGTCCTCAAACCCCAAAGGGTCCGGCTAGGACCCCTATACTTCACAGGGAGACTTCCCCCTACCCACCTGCCTCTTATTCTTCAGACCCAGCTTTCTCGCCATTTCCTTTCCCCGCCGGAGCTGGAGAACTCGGAGACCCCCTGGGCTGCAAGGCCAGGGGGCGGAGCACTGGGGTGACTCGTTACCTCATTCATTCATTCCCTTTCACCCCTCCCTGGCTCCTCCCCGGGGCAGGGAGGGGCGGGAAGTGACTGGGATGTGCATAATGGAGTTGAGTATGGAGGAGGTACCCTGGGCCCACGCTGAAAGACCTGGCGGCTGTTGCTGCCACCATGCCTAATTAGAAACCCCCGCCCGGCGCCCGAGTTCTGATGGCAGGCGGGGGACCCCCTCCTCCCAGCCCTGAGGCACGGCGAAGCCTGACAGGCGAAGGAGAGACTCCCAGCTATGGGACTGAGCTCCGGGAAAAGGATATCTAACTGGAGAGAAAAAAAATGGAAGCCAAGGGAGGGAAAGCTTTAAGATCTATTTCTCAGGACTTAGGGCGACAAGACAGCTGGGCCTGTAAGGAAGGGAAGGGAGCAGGAGGTGAGGCCTCGGAATCTGGCCAGTGACTTTCACATCTTTCCCCCATAAATCTCAAGTAGTCCCGGCTCTGATAAGGCCTGAGAGTGGAGGCTGTGGGGGTGTATGAGAGCCAGCTCTCTGATGGTGGCGAGGGAGCACCAGCTGGGACTGCGATGGGCTTGGGGATCATTCTCGCAGCATTCATCTGGGGGAAAGAGACCCTCGGAATATCACCAGTGGGGGGGAGCGCCAAAAGGTGGTTTTAACCCCTCCCCTCCTCCAAATGAACTTCCAAGATAAACGGACACGAAATGCCAACACAAATACCCTAGCTCACCACTTCCAAGTCCCCCCTCCTCCGCTGCAGAGCCCTCCAGCCCTAGACTATTCCGTGGGAGGCCCTGTGGGCGATGCCTTCTGAGGCCTGGCTTGGGTCCAGGGCAAGAAGGCTGGGGAGCTCTCCCATATAGCGCTCCTGGGCTGCCTGCCCCTCACCTCTAGGCAGGGGGCGCCTTGGCCCAGAAGTGAGCACAGGGCCAGGGGCGGACCGTGCGGGGCGCGCTCCTCCCACGCCGGTGTCAGATTTACGGAACAGAGCTCCCAGGCCGGACGCGCGGTGGCCTGACGGCCGTGAGGATTCCATCGGCCTGACCCTGCCCGGCTTGACCCTGCCCGGGCGCGCCATGTTCGCGCGTGGGTCCCGGAGGCGACGCTCCGGGCGCGCGGTGAGCGAGACTTGGGGCAGCGGTGGGAGTCAGGGATAAACTGAGGCCGGGGAGCAGGGAATCGGGATAACGAGGAGGCGCACCATCGAGGGTCTGGGAATCCCCAACCCCAGATTCCCAGAACGGAGGGGCTGGGGCTGCTGGAAGCGTGCGGATTGAGGAAGGCGGAGGTCTGATGGCACCTGTTCCCTACTCACCTCTGCACACTTCTATCAGCACCCCAGGGACCTGGTGGGCTCCCTTCTCGTGTGAATTCTGGGAAGGGATTCTGAGGGCCAACAGACTGGATCCTGGGGTTCTGCACTGAACGAGGACCTCCTGAATTTCTGAGGAAAGGGACTTCCCCTGTACTTTGGCAGAAGGCGATCTTAGGGGTGAGGTCCCACACTCCTGGGGTGCCTGAATATTAAGGGTCCAGGGATTAGGATGTGGGGGAAGAGGGCTTCCAGGCTTCTACTTGAGCCAGGAGCTTTCTGACTTCCTAGATAGCAGCGTTGCTTTTCTTTTGGAGGGGGTCTTTAGGTGGGGTCTGGGTTTGGTGGTCCAGAGGAGTGAATACCCTAGGATGTGAAGGGTGAAGACCACGGCTTCTTGGGGTTGGGGTTATTCAATGGATCAGGGGCCTCCTGAGATCCTGAAGGAGGGTCTCCAGTTCCTTGGGTATGAAAGGGGGAAGCCAGGATTTAGGGGAGGGCTGTTGAGATTCAGAAAAGAGGGGAAGGGTTATTGTAGGGATCCCAAGTAAGGATGGGGCCTCAGATTCCTACCCTGTGGAACCGGAGTCCTGCTGGCCTCCTGGGCGGAGAAGGAGCCAAGGTGAGGCCTGGGAGGAGACACCCAAATTAGGGACTCTGTGCTCAGGTGGGGAGAGTATTCTGAGTTCGGGAGAGGTGTGTGAGGCCTGAAGAAGTCAGAGGCAGGTGGGAGGTATCCAAGGCTGGGTGAGGGGGAAGGGAATTCCCTGAAAAGGGGGTTTACGGGGAGGTGGTCTCAGCTGCTCCGCCTTTACCTCAGTCGTGCCCTCCTCCCCCGCGCTGCGGGCGCTGTCCCAGCCTGCCCAGCGCTGCCCTGGTGGGACAGGCCCCAGCGTGCGGTCGCGGGAGTGGAGAGGCGGGCGTTGACTTCTCTCTCCCCGCCCCCGCGCCTCGCCGGGTCCCGCGTCTGTCCCCATCCACTTCAGCCTCCAGAGGCGGAGGACCCAGACCGCGGCCAGCCCTGCAACTCCTGCAGGGAGCAGTGCCCCGGCTTCCTGCTGCATGGATGGAGGTAGGTGACCATCAAGCGCCTCGCCTTTGTCAGGACCCCGCCGTCAGGGGAAACCCCTAGAAGCTTCGGCCACACCCCTAGGCTTGAGCCGCGGGGTCCACCAGAGCAACTCAGCTGGGGTGGAGCCTCACGCTCAGCTTCAGGGCCCCGCCCCCTGACTCGTTCCCAATTGTCCTGGTCCCAGGAAAGCTCCACCCGCTCCATAGCCCCGCCCCCAGACGGTTATCACAAGCCAGAGTCCCATCCCTAGGGAAATCCTCAGTCCCAAGGCGCTGAGCATCGTCCACTGACATCCAGCGCCTCTCAGGCTCAAAGTTCCTCTCGTGGACCCAGTGTCCTGTCCTTCCCCTGGAGCCCTGTACCCCAAACATCTCAAAATACCCCAGAGTCCACAGCTGGCACATCTACAGGCTCGGAACCCCCACCCGCCCACAATTTCAGAGCCTCAGCACAGGCCAGAGCCCGCCTCTAGGGAAAGTTCCCCCACAACCTCCAAAGCCAGTCCCGAGGAGAAACCCCCCTGAATTTAAAACTCCAATCTCAGACTCAGAGCCCCGCCCCTATTCAGGCCCACTGCCAGGAAAGTCTGACCTGAGTCCCAGAGATAAAAGTCAGAGGCGGGCCTGCAGACCCTACAGCCCCGCCCCCAGCTCCCAGCCTTGCCCTCCTCTCGGGTCTCACCCACGGCAGCCCCTCCCCCAGGCCCAGAAGTCCTTGGGTGGTGCTGATCTGCCTGTCCCAGCCCCTTAGTTGGACTTCCATGGGCTGCTCAGGGGTACAAGGGAGCCACCCCTTAATCACTGACCTCCATCCCTGTCCCCTTAGAAAGATCTGTCAGCACTGCAAATGCCCGAGGGAGGAGCACGCGGTGCACACGGTGCCTGTGGACCTGGAGCGCATCATGTGTCGGCTAATCTCAGACTTCCAGCGCCACTCCATCTCCGATGATGACTCAGGCTGTGCCTCGGAGGAGTATGCCTGGGTGCCCCCTGGTCTCAAGCCAGAGCAGGTGACCAGAGGCTGACACCCACTCTTCTTCTCCAGTAGATGCTTACACGCACACGCACACACAGCACACACATACACACACTCAGGTAGAATCCTATTTCTGGGACAACACGAGACCATGTGAATCCTTCTGACCCCCTTGCAATCTCACGGTGGTCATTCCCCCACAATTCTTGGCGAATACTGAATGATCACTGAGCAGGTTGGTCAGGGCCTGTTCACGCCACTCCTATTCTACCCCTTGACTCAGGTCTCATGCCAGCGCTTCGTTCTCCACATTTCCATTAATGGATTCGCTCAACAAATAGTTATTGAGCACCTACTGCATGTCACACTCTGTTCTGGGCACTGGGGCCACAGCAGTGGATAAGACATACACAAAATATATCTGCCCACATGGAGCTTAGAGTCTTAAAGTGAGCACCAGCCAGTAAACACACCTGGAAAAATATGTCAGATAGTTTAAGGGCTATGGAATTAAAAAAAAAAAAGGCAGGGAAGGAGTGAAGGAGAGAAATATTAGAATTGTAAATAGGGTGCCCGGGTCAGCCTCTATGAAAATATGATGTTTGGGCTTCCTGAAGGAGGTAAAGAAGTGCCATGCATATATCCATGGTTAGAGCTATCCAGGCAAAAGGAATAGCCAAGCAAAGGCCCTGAGGCAGAAGTGTGCTCGGCCCTGTGGGGAACAGTAAGGAGACCAGTGTGGCTAGAGCAGAGTGAGTGACTGGGAGAGGAAGTGGAAGTGAGGACAGAGGTGGGGAGGGAGACATGGGGAAGACTTTGACCTCTATTCTGAATGAAGGAGAAGCCACAAGAGGGTTGTGACCGGAGAAGGGATGTGGTTTGCCTTCGGATTAAACAGGCTCCCCCTCTGGCTACTGTGAGGAAAATAGGCTGTAGGTGTGAGGGTCGAGGCAGGGGGACCATGACTAATAACCATGTTGGCAGTGGAAGTAGTGAGTGGTGGTCAGATTCTGGATACGTTTTGAAAGCAGAGCTAAGAGGATTTGCTTGTGGGTGTGTGAGAGAGAGGAGTCAAAGATGACCTCAAGGAGGGATGGATTAACTGACAGGGGACAGGCCAAGGCAGAGCATAAGTTCGGTTTTGGCCATCTGGAGTTCTGAGATGCCCGTCAGAGATGTGAGTGGCCATGTGGCCTGGCACTCAAGGGAGGTGTCACAGGGCTGGAGGTATGGATTTGTGAAGCATGAGCCATGAAGTGGTATTTATAACCATGAGTTTGGATGTGATTCCCTAGGGAGCGAATGTAGAGAGAGGCAAGGGAACCATGGATGAGCCTGAGGCTCCTCCCACATTTGGGGGTTGGTTAGTTGAAGAAGAACCAAAAAGGGAGGCAGAGAAGGAACAGCCAATAAGGTAGGAGGAAACTGAGGACAGTGTTCTGGAAGCCAAGGGAACAAAGCATTTCCAGGAAAAGGGAGTGATCAGCTGTGTTCAGTGCTACTTATGGGTCCGGCTGGATGAGGACTGAGACCCGAAAAAGGATTTTGAAGGTGCGGACATCGTCAATGACCGGGACAGGAACAGCTTTGGAGGAGCGGCAGGGACGGAAGGGGCAGGGAAGCCCGACTGGAGTTGGGTCTGGAGACAATGGGAGAGGAAGTGGAGGGGGCGAGTGCCCACAGCTCTTTTGAGGACCTCTGCTGTAAATGAAAGAATGGGGGACAGCAGCTGGAGAGAAACGTGGGGTCAAGGCTTGAAGGAACTCATGGCATGTTTGGGAGGTGATGGAAATGATCTGTAGGAAGGAAAGGTGGAGAGGGTCAGTAGACAGCCCCTTCCAATGACTTTAACATTCTCCGAGAAGTAGGAGCCCACCATCCTGCTGCATCCCAGCTCACCCCTAGTCTCAATTGTTCTCTCCCGTCCCCCACATCCTCCCAGGTATACCAATTTTTCAGCTGCCTCCCAGAGGATAAGGTTCCCTACGTCAACAGTCCCGGGGAAAAATACAGGATCAAGCAGCTGCTGCACCAGCTGCCCCCACACGACAGTGAGGTGAGGAGCCAGAAGACAGGAAGGCCATGCCAGGTAGTGAGGGGGCAGGGCACAACCAGGGCAAATGCTAAGCAGCTGGAAAGAAACGCACAGGGTCAGGGGAGGAAAGGGAAGCCCATCTAATGTGAAAGGTGTGCACAGGCAGGGACAGGTGGGCCATTCCTCGGCCAAACCACAGCTGAGCCCTGGGAGAGGAGGTAAAGGGTGGAAATGTCCAGCAGGAAGCACCCAGCTATACCAAAGCCTAGAGGTAAACTGAGTGTGGATAAATTCTGGAAGGGTGGGGGGGGCAGGCATGGTGGGAGGAGCCTGGAAGACCCTCCCACCCCAGGCACAGTACTGCACCGCACTGGAGGAGGAGGAGAAGAAAGAGCTCAGAGCCTTCAGCCAGCAGCGGAAGCGGGAGAACCTGGGCCGTGGCACCGTGCGCATCTTCCCTGTGACCATCACTGGGGCCATCTGTGAGGAGGTGAGCCAGGGAGGGCCCCAGTGGGTGAGAGCAGTGCCTTTGCTCCAGGCCCTGGGAAGAGATGAAGCCTGCCGCTTCAGTCCTAGGGGTCGTCTCTCATGTCCCCTCTGGTGGATGGGGTCCTTTCCTCACATCCCACCGTTAGGCAGGGACCATGCCTTAAGGCCTCCCTGGCCAGCAAGATTTGTCTGCAGGGCCCCCTGGTGGACAGGGCCTGTTCTCTTGCAGCTCACAGTTGACTGTGGTCTGTCTCTAAGGAGGCCCTAGTGGACCTTCTCTATTAGTTCCCTCTTCACAGTGGATGTGAGGAGTGGGCTGTCTCTCTGGTCCTCTTGTGGTTAAGACATGTCCTTAAGAACTGACCCACAGTGGTCTGGCCTGTCTATAGGGCCCAGTGGCAGGTAGAATTTGTCTTCAAGGCCCCTCCCGGCAGATGGAGCCTGACCCTAGATCCTCCTGTAAGGTTCTAAGGTGAGGTTTGTTGCTAAGATTCCCCCACTGGGCCTGGCCTGTCTCTCTCTCTCTCTTTTTAAGATTTTATTTATTTGAGAGAGAGTGACAACTAGAGAGAGAGAGATAATCGGGTTCCCCGCTGGGTAGGGAGCCCAGTATGGAACTCCATCCCAGGCCCGCCCGAGATCATGACCTGAGCTGAAGCCAGATGCTTAACCAACTGAGCCACCTAGGTGCCCCCTGGCCTGTCTCTTTGATTTCCCCAGCTCCCTAAGGACAAGACTTGCCTTTAAGGCCACCCACAATTAGAAGGGCCAGTCTCTGTGGGCTTCCCCCCAGCAGTCATGTCAGCCTCTAGGGGACCCCACCCCCACCCCATGTAAGCAGGGCCCCACCTAAAAGTTACCCCATGGGTGGAGCCAGTCACAGAGGTTGGCCAGGGGCAGGCCCAAGTGTGACAGGCCTCGGCAGAACCCCATCTGGTCTGACTGTTGGTGGCAGCTTCTCTCTGTCATCTGGCAGTGTGGGAAGCAGATCGGAGGTGGTGACATCGCTGTGTTTGCCAGCCGAGCAGGCCTGGGTGCCTGCTGGCACCCACAGTGTTTCGTGTGCTCCACGTGCCGCGAGCTGCTGGTGGACCTCATCTACTTCTACCATGCCGGCAAAGTCTACTGCGGCCGCCACCACGCAGAGCGCCTGCGCCCGCGTTGCCAAGCCTGTGACGAGGTTCACACCTGTCCAGCCCGGGGTGGGAGTGGAGGGTGAGCAGGGCCAGGGGAAGGCCCTTCTGATGGCCAAGGTGGCCCGTGTCCCTCTCCCCCCTCCCCTCCCCCCTCAGATCATCTTCTCCCCTGAGTGCACCGAGGCCGAGGGCCGGCACTGGCACATGGGGCACTTCTGCTGCTTCGAGTGCGAAGCCTCGCTGGGAGGGCAGCGCTACGTCATGCGTCAGAGCCGCCCCCACTGCTGCGCCTGCTACGAGGCCCGCCACGCTGAGTACTGTGATGGCTGTGGGGAGCACATTGGTGGGTGAATAGGAAAAGGGACGGGGCGACACATGGAAAGCCGGGCTGTAGCACCACCCCACCAGGATCCTCCGTTATAGTCCATACTTGCGGTCCAGTGCCGGCACCATAGCCCTCCACCCTTTACTGCAAGTCCCTCACCAGTATCCCCCATCATGCTGGACTTATGAAACCCCACCTGTGTGACCCTAGGCACCACTGCATATCTATGCCCACTTCCAGGGTTCCAATTCCCAGCCCCCCTAGCCCCCTGGGGCCACCCTCTTACTCCCTCAGCGGAGGCCCAACTCCCCCAGACTCTCCATAGTCTCTAAAATCTCTATCAGCGTAGGTACAGTCCTACCTCCTGAGCTGCACCCCGCCCTCTAAGACCCACTCCTTTCCCACCAAGGCCCTGCCCTACCTTCTAAGCCCTGCCCCCCCAACTTTCCTTCAGGTCCACCTTTTACACTCCATCCACCTGACCCACATTTCAAGAGTCCAATGCCCACCCCCAGTCTGGGAGGGGGCACCCTGGGAAAGAAAGAGAAGGAGAAGAGGAGACATCAGCTGGTTTCACAGAGAGAAAGGATGAAGAAACTTAGAGTGAAGCCCAAACCTCAGTTTCTCTTCTTCCTCCAGAAAAGAGCCCCATTCTGGAGAGTTGGGAGGGAGGGCATCTTGGGGTACCCTGCCTCAGATTCCCTGCCTCTTCCCAAGATGGGCCCCATTCAGGACAGGCAAGGGCTATGCCTGCTGGCACTGCCTCAGTTTCCCCCCTCTCTTCCATCCCCGCAGGCCTGGACCAGGGTCAGATGGCTTATGAGGGCCAGCACTGGCACGCCTCAGACCGCTGCTTCTGCTGTAGTCGCTGCGGGCGAGCTCTCCTGGGCCGCCCCTTCCTGCCACGCCGTGGCCTGATCTTCTGCTCGAGAGCCTGCAGCCTGGGGTCCGAGCCCACAGCTTCCGGGACGGGCCGCCAGAGCTGGAGCGCGGGCACAGTCTCCACACCTCTTGCAGCATCCACAGCCTCTTTCTCCACTGTGGAGGCATCGGAGACCACCACCAAAGGGACCAGCACGGAGCCAGAGCCCGGTGAGCTAACCCTGGGGCACGCCTAGCCTCTCCGAGTCCCCGCCCCCACCTCAAGCCAGAACCCTCCCCTTGGCTGGCCCAGACCCTTCTCAGGCAGTATCCCTGGCCTCGCCCCCACCTCCATCCAGGCTGCATCCCCAAACCGTGCTAGGACTAGTCTCCAGCCCACACTACCCCTTGTGAACCCTGGCTCCGCCCCTGTTACAAGGCCCGTCCCCTAGTCTCAATTTGTTCCTTCTTGAACCCAAGTTCTTCCTCCTTTCCTCCAAACCCCTCACCTTCCTCCCTCCGTGCCCAGACCCCACCCCCCATTCTATGGCTAACTTGGTCGACTTTAGTCAATGTCACCACCCCCCTTACATCAGAAGCCGCACTTCTATTCCCTCCACCCAGAGTCTGCTCCAAGCTTCACATTTCCCAAACTCCCCCAACCTCGCTGCTGCCCTCCAACTGCTGCTCCCACTTTCCCAGTCCTGACGGGGTAAGGTGGAGAGAAGTCCCTTCTACCGGCCTCCCCTTGGGGGCCAGATAACAGGGAGTTGCTCCATCTCTCTTTCTAGTTGCAGGCCCTGAGGAGCCCACCCACTTTCTGAGAGGGGCCCCCCACCGCCACTCCATGCCAGAGCTGGGGCTCCGCAGCCCCCCAGAGCCGCCCCCAGGACTCCCCAGCCAGCCTGATCCGAGCCCAGAAGATGGTGCCTTTGGTCGCCAGAGCACCCCTCGCGTCAGCTTCCGTGATCCTCTGGTGTCTGAGGGAGGCCCTCGGCGGACCCTGAGTGCACCCCCAGCACAACGTCGCAGGCCTCGTAGTCCCCCACCCAGAGGCCCCACCCATCGTCGCCGCCGCCGCAGCCACCACCACCATCATCATCATCACCGCCGCCACTCAGGCAGACATCGCCACCACCAGTGTGATTTGGGATCAGGGTCGGACTCAGGATCTTGCTCCAGCTCACCTTCTAGCCCCAGCTCTGAGTCCTCAGAGGAGGATGGCTTCTTCCTAGGGGAACGCATCCCCCTGCCCCGGCATCTTTGCAGGCCCGGGCCTGCTCAGGACAATGCAACTGGAACCCCCAAATCCCCATCTCCACAGCTCCCCAGGAGCTCTCGCCCAGGGATGCCTCGCCAGGCCAGAGACAAGAACTGCATCGTGGCTTGAAGGCAGTGTAGTCCTGGAGAGTTCTGTTCTCCCGTCAGTGGAGATGATCCCGTCTCCCAGCCCAAGCCATACATCCCCTTCCTCCTTCATCTGTTTGTGTTAATGAAGTAATTTAATATTTGCCATAAAACAGGCCTGGCTTCTTTACCTCCTTGCTCCAGCTGTCCCCTCCCCAATTTTCCCCCTCCTGATGCTTGAGATTTATCCACATTTGACCAAAGGATTAATTTATTCATTATTATATGTTGTAACAATCTGTTTATTTACCCCCCCACAGAACCACCCCCCACACAGAGGAGTTTATTTGGTGTGGGTCACAACCTAGGGCCTAGAATCTGAAATCTGGGCCCCCCTCCTGCCCTCATTTTGTGGCTTCAGTGGGTGCATAGTCCAGGCAGAACAAGTGTCTCCTCCTGGGTGCTGCAGAAGGAAGGGAGACAGAGGCACACCCATAAAGGTGGCCACACCCAGGAGGGACTGGCAGGTAGGAAGACAGATTCTCCCAATAAAGGCACTTGTACTTCAGTAAGAGGCTGGGAGTTGGCTGGGAGTGTTGTCGGGGCAGGGAGGAGTTATTCGAAGGAAGTGTTATTTGCAGGCTTCAGAGAGAAATGAAGGGAGTTCACCTACACCGGGCCATCTGCAGGGTCTGCAAGTGAGGAAAAGAGAGGAAAGCATTGGTAGGATCCTATGCCCATTTCCAGACAAGGAATACTGAAGCTTATGGTACTCATGGGCACTAAAGCCATCAGTACCAATAAGGGGGCATTCGTGCCCGTGGGAGACTCCCTTTCCTACTCAAACCCCCAGCAACACTCCCCCCACTAACACACACACTTACCAGTAGGGGCTGCTGTATGTCTTTGCTGCCGCAAGGGGAAGGTGATGTAGGCATCAAAGCCAAAGAGGCTTGTGGCGAGTAGGCCCAGTACCTGAGGGTGGGGATGGGCACAAGGGAGGCTGGATTAGGTCCGTCAGCCTACTCCGCCTCTTGCTTCCTTGTATCTACACCTCCAATGACTGCTCCCATGCAGGGATGGTGACTAAAACCCCAGATCAGGAAGCCAGAGAGCCCCAGGGACAAGCCAGGAGATGGGAATCTACTCCCTCCTCCCTCCTCCTAGAACCTCCCAACACAGTGTAACCACACAGTGGCCCCACACATCAGTGGCACCATGCACATGGTACATTCAAGACAAAGTTCTAGTGGATGGCAGTCTCATGTGTTGACAAAGGGGCCACCTCTTTGTGCTTTCCACAGAGGTCCCTGTGTTGGACAAGGCACGGCCTTTCATGGAAAATGATGATCTCGGGAGGACAACCAGAGCATGGGCCAGACCTTCCTGCAGGCTCTAAGGACAAGTGTGACCTGCTATGGGCCATATACTTTCTCCCAAAAGCAGAAGCAGAACTGGGCCCTGGATTCTCAAACCCCTATCTTTGCCTTGGAGCAGCCTCTGCGGCTTTTACCCCTGCGATGATTTTGGAGTGGTTTCCTCCCTCAACAAGGACAACAATGGAGGTGATCAGGTAGAGGATGGCCGCTATGAGGGTTCGCAAGAAGTCCTGTGAGGCGTGGGGAGAAGAGGGGAAGTCGTCATCCAGCGGTCCCAGGACCATCCCAACTGCCCTGGCGCCCCTCCCTAGTCCCGCCCCTTTCTCACACTCCAAGGCCAGTTGATGATCTGTATCTTCGTGTGCAGGTCGCACATGTAGATGACAAAAAAGATAGCAGCAAGGATCATCTCGACCACCGACAGGGAGGAGTATCCTGGCGTGGAGGCACTGAAGCAGATCAGAATCACGAGGCACAATATCTGGAAGGATGACAGGGGAAAGGGGACAACCCCCCCCCCCTCCAATCAGCATCCAGGGCTGAGGGGATTTGGTTTAAATTGGAGGTCTCAAACTCCGGCGATGCCTACCAGGGCTGGAAAGATGACAAAAATTAATAGCTAAACGTTTACTCTGTGCTCACTGTCCCAAAAGTTGTTCTAGGGGCTGTACAAGTAGGAATTTACTTAATCATCATGACAACCCCATGAGCTGAGTACTGTTATTAGTATCTTTATTTTATAGATGAGAAAACTGAGGCACTGAGAGGTTAAGTGACTTGGCCCGGAGGGGCACCTAGGAAGGGGTAGAGCTGGGTGCCTCGGTCCCCCGCCTTTTCCCTTCCAGCATAGGGCAGGCTGCAGGGAGTGGTGCTGCCAGGTGTTTGGTGAGCACTACCGGCTCCAGCTTCAGGGCCTTGACAGGGGCGGGACCTGCGGTTCCCTCGGCAACCACTTTGGGAAGCGGTGAGAGTGACATCGGAGGGGCAGGACTCTGTTAAAGGCGTCGCACCGCTTTTACAAGTGAATCAAAGTGGCTCCCACTTTCAGGAAGCCAAGGGTGGGAAACCCAGGGTCCCCGAGCGGCCCGAAGAGCTAAGGACATCCTCCCGACCACAGAAGGGCGAGGAAGAACTGGTAAAGGGCGGACCGCCCTACACCGTAGGACCAGGGCTCAGGGCCCCACCCCAACAGGCCCCGCCTCTGGGCGCGCAGCCAGCCCGCCCGCCAGTGCCCAGGCCGCGCCACGCCCTGCCACGAGAGGCACCCCCGCCTCCTAGGCCCCTGGGATCCCTCCGAGGAGCCCACCAATGTGTCCACGCGCTCTCCCTCCACAAGGCCCCCCCATAGGCGCTATGGTCCCCTTGCGGCACCCCGTAGCCCAGCAACCCCTGACCACCTTCTCCAATCCCCACTGCTTCGCCCCGAGCCCCTGGATTCGGGCCTCCACCACCAACCCACCCTCCGGCGCCCCACTGCGGTGCGCCTCCAGGTCCGCGCCTGCCTCACCCGGGGCCTCCGGGCTCCGCGTGGTCCAGCCACTCCACCCTGCCTTTGCCCACCCGCCTGTCCCGGGCCGCTCACAATCTCAGCAAACAGGAGAATTCCCTTTCGGGTGCGCGAAAAGTTGGTGCAGGCGGCCCAGCAGCCGGGGGCCGAGAGGCGCTCGGAATCCGCCATGGGGTGGGCCGGAGTCCCTAGGGGCGCGGAGTATCTACTCGCTTTCTGGCAGATTTCGGGACGCTGCACACCCTGCCGTCTTGCCCGCCGTCTGGCTGGGAAGGGGGCCCCCGGGGCGAAGGAGGGAGTGAATCACCTCGCAGAGCAGAAGCGGGCGGGGCCGGAGGGGGCCGGGCCAGGTGGCTGCCGCCCCGGAAGCCCCTTTGCCCCGCCTGCCAAGGATACTCCCCGCTGGGTGCGTAGCCCCCAGGGCGCCCCACCTCCGGGGGCGCCAGCCTTTGAGGCTTGGCAGTTCGGGGTACCATGTGCGGTAATGACAGGACCTTTTGCGCTTTCGGAATAGGAATGCTTTCGGTGTTGCCTCAATTCAGAATCTCGGGGATCTGGTTTTGGGGAAGCACATGACTCAGTTTCCTTAGCTGTAAAAATGGCTGAGGCCATGGTTAAACCCAGGCATGTTTCCAGAATTCTGAATATTTCGGGTCTTAGAAAGTTGTATATTTCTTAACACTCTCAGCGAGGTCTGAGGCAGCCCCGTTTTAAAATAATAATAATAATAGTAATAGTAATAAAAAGCCTTAATATTTATTCAAGTAAAGGGGTGGAAATCGTTCACAATAAGTGGGATAAGCCAGAACTGAAAATTGTCCCTCATTAAATCAGGTTAGGTTTTGTAACCAAATGGTGCCCAATACGTGGGAAAGCTATTTCCAGGGCTTTGGGGACTTCAAATTTCGGGTAAAGGATCATGGTTGGTGGAATAAACCCCTTAGCAGTGATGGAAATGAGACTGCACTAGCGCACAGGCTAAGAGAGAATAGGGCTTGGTGAGCATCAAACTGTTCAGTACATGGGGACAGACATTATTAACGGTGTCACAACCCAGAGGCTCCCAGTTCTGCAATCCTAGGGAGGCCCTTGCCCCAAGTACTGGGCCTCTGTTTCCTGGTTCTCAGAAGAGGGCCACCAGCACAGCCCTAGATGAAGAATGGGGAAGGAGCCCAGGTTTCTTTAGTGCTGGAAGCTTGGCAAGGTGAGAGGAAGGTTCCTGGGGTCCCGGTCGTGGTGACAAAGCTGATGACATTTGAAGTGTGTTATCCTACCTGAGCTATTTCTCCTGACTCAGCCTTGATTTCTGCATCTGAGACAGGCATCTGGTCACAGGAATCGGGATCTCCCTGGAGATACGCTGAGGATCACATTCTCTAGACTGAATGTTGGTTTTATTCTCATCCCATTTGAGGGAAGAGTTGTGGCTGGAAGGCCAGGACAGTTAGACCCAAGGGTCTGCCTGCACACACCCCCCAACCTAGAGTGCCTCAAAACCAAGAAAGGGGCACCCTACTATCAGCCCAGGTTGCTGAGAGTGGTTGGGTGGTAGAAGGAATGAAGCACACTTTTCCCCAGACGGAGTGTGTGTTTTCCAACTCTGTGAGGACGTATCTGAGTTTCTAGAACAAAACAAACTCTGCTCCACTTCAGGGCCTTTGCACTTGCTGTTCCCATGGCTGCCAGTGCCCTTCTCCAAGCTCTTCATACATTTATTTGGCTTTTGGTCAATCAGGTCCTAGCTCAAAGGTTGTCTTCAAAGAGACCAGCAGCCCACCATCATTATTTCCACCAACATAACCTCCTTTTGCTGTCTTTATAACTCTGACCTCTCTCTGAAGTTACCTTTAATTTATTCCTTTTCTTTTCTTTCCTTTGCCTTTTCTTTTTCAACCTAGGTTTACACAAAGTTACAAATCTTTATGTTTTGTTTCACCAGCATCTCCCCAGTGCCTATACAGTGCAAAGTAAACAACTGGGGCTCAATTATTACTTGATTAAAAGGACCAGCTCAGGAATCCGGCCTTGATTAAATCTCGCTTCAACCGCCTCCCTCGAGCCATTTATACTATCTGGGCCTCACTTCCCTCCCCCATGAAATGGACATATCAGGATTGTTGAGCAGATGTGTAAGTAGATGAAAATAGATACTGCAAGTAGAGCCAGTAGCAGGAATAAGGCTAAGTAAATGGTGGCCGGGGTTACTATTATTAGTCTCCCGGGTGTGACTGTGTTGATAGGACTGAAGCTCCTTCACTTCCCTAGAGCCACACCTCCACTAGGCTCTGACACAAGGGTAGCTGGAAGCCCCAGCGCACTTCCCCACAATGTCCACAGTGCTGACCATTGAAGCATTCACCGGCTCCTAGCCTGGCTATGAGGTCCCCCTCTCCTTCCAGCGTCAGCCTAGAAATTCACACGCCTGTCTTTTTTTTTTTTTTTTTTTTTTTTATTTTAGAGAGAGAGCGTGCACAGGAGAACACAAGCAGGCAGAGGCAGAGAGAGAAGCAGGCTCCCCACTGAGCAAGGAGCCCGATGCGGGACTCGATCCCATGAGCTGGGATCATGACCTGAGCCGAAGGCAGCGGCTTAACCCACTGAGCCACCCAGGCGTCCCACACGCCTGTCTTTTAATTTGCTTCCCCTCTCCGGTGGGAGTTGCCCATTCCCACCTGACCACAGCTTCCTTCATTGGTGGTGGTGGGGGGTCAAGTGCTTAGGGTGTGGTGACAAGCGGAGGTGACTAGACATTTCTTGCCTCGGCCAGCGCTGGCTTTGGGGCTATCCCGTAGGAGTCCCGCTGGCCACATAAGCCCTGCCTTCAGGGCTCTGCTCCCAGGATGGAGGAAACTCTGGCCTCTTCCAGGACCAGGAACGCCCAGCATGTGGCGTGTGCACACAAGCCAGGCGCTGTTCGTCACCATGTATGGAAGAGGGGGCGCGGCTGAGAGGTTCTAACAGCCTTTTTTTAGCGCAGCCCGCTGACTCACACCTTCCCGGCTCCGCCCCAAAGGGGGCTCCAGGGCCCCAGCCCAAGCCCTAAGGGTGGCAGTCTACGTGCCAGCGAGAGCCGGCCGACCAGGCCGGAAGTGAGAGACCACAGGCTCCCGGTGAAGGAAGCCACCCTGGTTCTAGCCTTGCTATCGGGCCATCAGGACGATTCCTGATCGGGGCTGTGGGTATTCAGGCGCACTCCCGCTACAACGGCCCACCTCTGCATTCCCCATGCCGGGAGCAAAGATTATCTGTGAGCCCCGCACACCTCCCAGAAAGTGAAATGAATGAACGCGGAGAGAAGCAGGAGCCGGCGAAGAAAAACTGAGTGGGGAGAAAGCACGCCAGGCTGAAGATCAGCACAGGCAGACCCCGCTAGAGACACGGGTGAAACAGCATGAAGTAAGCTTTTTAATGGTTACAAGAAGAGGCCCTGCTTGAAACCAGATCGACCCACCTTCTCCTCTGCAGGGTGAACGCAGGAGCCCCACCCGGCCTACAGCACCCGACAAGTCAAGACTGGGTCGAACCATTTTATTACCTCCCCCGCTCGAAACCAGAAGTGCAGGGCTGGCCGGTCCGGAGGGCTGTGCCACTGACACTGCGAGGGAAGCGCGGGCTGGTCCGCTGCGCAGCCGGAATGGGGATGGGACGAGACCGAGTGCACGCTCTCCCAGCGATGCTAGCGTGCGGTCGGTGGAGTACACCGGATCCAGGTCCGGCAGTACCAAGTGAGCATCGGGCCGTCCCATAAGTGCTCAGTGCCTCCGCCTTCCAGCAGCCATCTCGAGAGCAAGCTGCGGCGCCCTGGGGATCCCTAGGGCCCGCGAAAGCCGTTCCTCACTCGGCACCAGCCAGGGTCCCGGGGAACCCGGGGTTCGGTCGTTAGGGTCGTCTGTGCAGCGCTGAGGAGGAGGAACCGCAGGACAGTCGGCCAGCGGCTCTGGGCTAGGCTCAGGGCTGCCCCGACGGTGCGGAAGTGGAGAAGCACTGACGGTGTGAGACCTCATCACCTCTGGTCCACCAGGATCTGGGCTGCGATCAGGGGATGGCAGACCTGCGGGTTGGATTGGGGGATAGGATGGGGAATGGAAAACGGAGCCCCCTGGCTGAGGGGGGCCGGCAGACTCCAGGGCCTGCAGGAGACAGGGACCCCTCCTTAGAGAAATCTCCCTTTGAGGCCTGGACAAACCATTCAGGAACCGTTACCACCCCCTCAAGACTCGCCCCACCTGCAACGCCTCTTGTCCCGAGACCTCTCCCCAGCTGGATCCAGAACATGCCCCCGCAAATACTTTACCACAATCCCAAAGGAAATCAAACCCTGACCTTGACCTCGATATGCTAAACCCCTCTCATCTAGGACCCCAGACTATCCCCTTCCTTAACCCACCTCCCTCAACTCCCAGCTGTTTGCATATGGACCCCTCAGCCTTGGAAATAGACCCCCCTCACCATCCGGATCCCCATCCCATCCTCTCCCTCCTGAGACCCACTCCACCTTTTCATGCGAGAACAACTCTTCCTTCTAAACACCTGCTTTTACCCCAGACCGTTCCCCCATTCTCCTCTCCTAGTACCTCAAAAATCTCCCCTCTAAAATCTACTTTTATTCCTATTCTGGGACCCTGCTCTTCCCCATCATGGATCGTGCTTTTGAGAATATCATGACACCTCACAGACACTAAACTCTGACCTCCTCCCCACAGAGACCACCAACACCTCCCACCCTGGACCCCAGTCTCTCCATGTTGCGAGCCTCTCCTTCCCCTCACAGCTCTCTGAACCCTCTCCCTTGGGAAACCCACCATCTCCTTTCTGGGGCCCTCCCACCCCTTCAGGCTCGCCAGGGTGGGTTTCAAGGGGCCTGCTTAGTACAAGACGGAGACGGGGGCCGCCTGTGCGAATGCGCTCCACCACTTGGGCGTGGGTGAGGCCCCGAGTTGATTCTCCGTTGATGTGGAGCACGAGGTCCCCAGCCTACAAGAGTGCAAGGAGAGGGGTATTGTAGAATGAGCAGATAGGGAGCACCCCGACAAAGGGCGAGGATTGGGCAAGCACTGTTGAGTGGAGGGCGTCTTATACCTCACCTGCAAGCGACCACAGCGCTGTGCTGGCCCGTTTCTCAGCACTCCGCGCACCGCCAGAGGAGCATCCCCCGATGAATCTCGGCCTCCGCTTAATGTGAGGCCAAAGCCCGTGGAATCTCGAACCAGTTCCACGCAGAACCGTCCAGAGGTCTGGAGCGGCTTCGAAGCAGAACATGCCTTAGCCTGGGTCACTTGTGGCGGTGCAGTACCTGTACCCAAGGTCACTGACCGATGATGCTGGAGTAAAAACACAAGCATACGTACATTGCCAGTCTCAAAGCGGGTGGCATTCAATAAAAGGGCGAGGTGGTACCTGCGGCCGGTGTTCCACGAAAGTGGGATTAGGCAGGCGACTGTCTGTAACCTCTATGTCTGCAGAGTCCAGCACACTAACGGCTGGAAGATGAAAAAGGCAGTTAGAGGGGGACTCCAGGGAAACCACTTAGGACGTGCCCCCTGATTTAACGTTCTAGTTTCACCTCATTTCCTTACCTCTAGAATGCAAACTGGCACGCCCACCTATTTAACTGGGTTCAACCCACATGAGTAACTGACCTCAGGTCGACTTCTAAGTAATAATCCTGGGCTCTGCTATTTGAATACACCTCTAGACCTTCCTATAGTCCTCCAATAACGCAGAGATCCTGTTCCTCATATTACACCCTTAGGCACTCCCTGGGGGGTGCAACTCCAAGACTGGACTCCTAAACTTTTCAGGCTCCGCCCCCTAACTGGCCTATAAATTTCAATCCATTCCTGACATTTCGATCCCTCCCCCTGGCATTTGTAGGCTCTACCTCCTGGAGTGGATTTTTTTTTCCAGACCCGCCCCTCAGCCAACTGCCCGCCCCCAAAACTCTTCAGGCCCCACCTCCTCAGAAATGCCATACAAAGCGCCCCTGACAGGGATAACCATCCAGCCGTGCACCCGCAACTAGCCAATGCAACATTAATCTATCAAAATAGCTTTTCCAAGATCACCTCGTGGAGGAATATTCTAGGATAACGCCAAGGCTCCGCCCCCTCGAAGCGCCCTCCGAGCCCCGCCCCGCCACCCACTGGCCCCACCCAGGGAAGTAACTAGCAATCCCTGGTCCGCCACTTCTGAATCCGGCCCCACTCACACCCCGCCCCCCGCAACGCACCAGCCTTGGGGCGCAGGCGCAATGTGGCGCCCGTCCTGCGTACCAGCGCCGCTACGTCGGCCGCAGCTCTGGCCGCCAGGGGGCGCGCGTCCAGCCGCGCCAGGAGCTGCCGGGCTCTGGGGCCAGCCAGCTGGGGAAGGTACCCGCCTGCGACGGTGGAAAGAGGAGGTCAGCACCTGCCCGAGCCTCGGCGTACCACCTCGCTCCCCGACGTCGGAAGACCCAGAATGCCCCTCAAGACCTTCGGAACCCCCCGACCACTCCCTCGATA